ATTACTCCGAACGTTCCAACTTGTTTTACCGTATGATTTAAATGTAATCTTAAGTTGTATGTACTTAATTACCACATGTTGAACATGAACACATGTTTTTAAGTTGACAGCCATTTGTAAATTAAGTTGCTCCAAATAATATTGTATTCAATAGTTTTTCTCTTAGCTTGTTCATGTTTTGCCTTTAAAGAAAGAAATTAATTGATTCCACAACAAAAATATTAGGCAATTCACTTTTTATTTTTGAACTGCAGTTGTTTATTTCAACGCATGATGTTTCAATCAGGAGAGTTTGAATTTCAAGTTGTATTTGAATGACAAAAGATGACACTCACCTTAAAATGTCCTTTGTATATTTCTATTTGTCTTAACTGTGGGAACTTGTCCAGGCATCTTAAGTGGGAGTGGACTTGAAATCCTTAACTCAAGGTGGAGAACAATAAGTTATCAAGCCAATTGCATTACTTACTTCAACTTGAATTTAGTTTGAAATCAATTCATGCAGAAATCAGAGTTCAAATGACACACAATATTAAGTTGATGTAATTACCAACATGATTACGTCAACACAACTTATAAATACATTTTTGCAAATTATGGGGGGATTTTGGGGATTTTATCTAAATCAATTAACTCACATGTTTATCTTGCAACCAGTGCATTTAATTAAGTGGAGGTGAAAGGTCGCCTGAATTCGGTTTTTAGACGTACAGATCACTCATTTTGATATTAATATTAAACTTAGTTTTATTTTCTTTAATTTTTCATCCTCGTGTAGAATGCTATCACGAAACACACATTTGATTGTTTATAGCATAAAGAACATCTGAGTGAGTTAATGTGAGGTGACGAACACGACTGTGGTGACGAACTTCTCATGGTGTGCACACCTAGACCGGACTTAAAAGACGTTCCTCTGACCAACGCTGACCTCATTTTGTATGTTGATGGGTCTGCCTCTCTAATCGGGTGGGTTTTCCTGTTGTTTCAGATTCTGCTGTACTCCGTTCCGGACCAATCCCATGTCTCAGCACAAGCAGCAGAGCTCATCGCACTAACTGAAGCCTGCACGTTTGCAGAAGGCAAAACCGTGACTATTTACACTGACTCACGCTATGCTTTTGGGGTAGTGCACGATTTTGTGGCTATTTGGAAGTGTAGACAATTTCTGCAAGCAGCACAGACCCAGTTCCCCTAAGAAATTGGGTCTGCTAATTTACCTGCTGACTCAGCCGCAAAGGCAGCTGCTCTGATTCCTCTCACACCTCACACTCATTTGTTAGAATGCCTGTCTCCTCCTTCACTGACAACATGTCGTCACTTCAGCAGCTAGCTACACCAGTTGAGAAGGCTCGGTGGAAGGCTGCTGGGGCTGTTTTTGACACATGGGTTGGACAATGTGTCAAAAGGGGGGATGTTAGAGGCTATAAATCAGATGTTAGAGGCTATAAATCAGGAGTGGTTCTGAAGGGGGGTAATTTGCATTAAGCAAAATTCATTTGAGCACCTAATGCTGGATTTCATTGAGCTTAGCCCATCAGAGAACATCTTAAATTAGAACAACGGTTCACATTTGTGAACGGCACAATCAAAAACAAACTAGCAAAATGCAGTGCAGACACAGGTCTGTCATGGACACAAGCTCTGCCCATTGTGCTGATGTACATGCGGATGTGGGAACGAACATGGAGCCAACTCAGCCATTTGAAATCCTTTTTGGGGCTCCTCCACAGATTGGACTCAAGGCTCCAGGATGTCCTCTTCCCTCCACAACTTTGTGTGAGGATGCTATGTTGCTATGTTGTATGTTAACCTGTCATCCACTTTAGCGACTGCCACTGGTCCACTTAACCATCTCCAACCCGGCGACTTCGTGCTGGTCAAGGATTTCCGGAGAAAGAGCTGGAAATCCAATCGTGGGCAAGGTCCTTACCAGGTGCTTCTCGTCACCCAGACAGCGGTCAAGGTCGCCGAGAGAGCTACGTGGTTCCACGCCAGCCACTGCAAGGTCGTAGTCACCAACGGAAGACGACAACAAGTGGCGTGTCCTAGTCACCACCAGCACCACACTTGCACTACATACACCAAAACACACTACACACAAGGTGTCACGAGCGAGTGCCAGCTGAGCGGTTCCATATCCCCTCTGGTTCCTCGTTTGTGTTACCGGTGTGCGGAGTCTGACTGTCCGTGTCGCAAAATCGACCGAGGGAATACACACACACACCCCATGGAGCATTTCCACCTCGTGATGAGGGCTCGCTTGGAAAGGCGACAACGCAACCGTGAGCAATGTGGATACTACTGGAGAGCCTGGACAATCATAAAATGGTTCCTCTGCATACTTGTCATGATAGTTGTGTTAGGACTAGTCCTATATTTTATGTATCCATGGTCAGCACACAGCATGTCAGCCAAAATCGAGGTATCTAAGAGGTACATGGGGAGAGCAGGGTGAACCACATGGGCAGAGGGGCTGGTCAAGACAGGGATTGGTAACATTACTCTAAGGGATGGGGAAGATAGCACAGTGCAGTTATGGTGTTTACAATATCTCGTATTGCATATTCAGTGTCCCTGGAAGAATCCTTTCTAACGTAGCATTCCCTGATGTTAACCATATTTCCCTCCAACTGGCCTGGCCCAGTGATGCTGGGTTTAGCTCGCCACAAGATTACGTTTGGTTGTGCGGCGACAAGCTCTATCAGATGCTGGCTCCCCTCTGGATAGGTACATGCACTCTAGTGGATTTGAATCCAGCAGTCACTGTCCTCATGTCCTTAATGTACATGACACATCATTACCCAGAGTTCCAACACCACGACCACCACAAGGTAAAAAGAGATCTGACGTCCGCTGGAGCTAAATTCTTTGGCGGCCTGTTCCCATGGTGGGGTACAGTAAACAATGCCCATAACATAGATACCTTACATGTTCGACTAGAGAACCTCACTTACGAGACGACGCAAGGCTTCCAGGCATTGCCCCCATTCATAATAGCCTCAAGGAACATGCTCATGCAGCACCAATTTGCTCTTGACCTTTTGTTCGCCTCAAAGGGTGGCCTGTGTCATGTGATCGGTGACTCCTGTTGCACTTACATTCCCGACGCCACCAAGAACATCACTGACACCGTGCTGCATCTTAACAACTTGTTAGCCGACATGAAAGCGGATGACATATCCAACGCAGGTGGCTGGGACTGGTGGTCCTGGCTTACATCGGGGGGGGGTGGCAAGGATGGCTGGCTAGGATAGTTACACCCCTGATAATCATTTTCGGCCTATCAATCAGTTGTACCTGTTTGATTATCCCAATACTGAAGAAAGGCTTTTCCAGCCTGGTATCCTTAGCTTTCGTTCAGTATACTGCTATTCCATTACACGACAATCCTTTGCGCCACAGTGAGATAGACCAGCTAGAATCAGAAGAGTCTGATTCCGACACTACAATATAATCAATATAATCATGTGAATCGAGTGTACTCTCCTCTTATGCTTACATTATATTGGAGTCTGTCCTCCACAAAAACAGCCAGTTTTCTATGATATATTTGTGATGTGTTTACTTAAACCAGTGATGGAGTGTATTCATTGATGTGTTGTATCAGTCTATCCTGTCATTTGTTTTTTTTATTGATCAAGTATGATCAAAAGGGGGGAATGTAGTGGACATTGTTATTATATCCTGATATGTTTAAACCAAATGCTTCTCATTTCCTGAGATGTGCTGTTTTCCTCTATCTACTCTACTTCAAGGCCACAGAGCTGTTTTGGCTACTGGGTTGAGACTCACACAAAGTCACACGAGAACTTCTACAGCTCAAGGCCAGGTGTCTAATAACAATGTGACTGTGTGAAGACAGATTTCTGCACTTCCCACTTATTCCTGTATATATACCTTGCTACCATATTGAACTGCGCACACTCGCGCAGACTATTTTATACTCTGTGAGACCTGTGTCTATATTTTATTGTATCTAATGTTTATTTGAAGCTTCAAATAAACATCACCAGAAAGACAACTCTGTCTGATTCACCATTTATTTGTTTTGATCACTCTGACTTGTACTCTACAGTATTGGGGTTTTTAGATTTCCATAACAAGATGGAGAACTGACCTGAGCGTCTCCAGTCTGCAGGCTGGACTCTCCAGAAGATCTCTCAGCAGCTCCACTCCTGAATCCTGCAGATTGTTGTCACTCAGGTCCAGATCTCTCAGATGGGAGGGGTTGCACTTCAGAGCTGAGATCAGATCAGAACAGCTGATCTCTGAAAAACTGCAGCTCCTCAGTCTGAATAAAGACAAATGATGGGAACATAAACATTTATATGGCAGAAAGTAAAGTTTACGTAAAACTAATATTAGTTCAGAGGACCTTCTTTATTCAGACCATTTACTAAAGAAAACATACATTTATTTTAACAAATAACTGTCACGATCTAGGTGTTATGTCACGGTTTTAGTGTTGTCTGTCTGGTAATGGGTTTTGTTTTGCTGTGCTGTTCTCTCTGTCTCGTGTTTTCCTCCTGAGTCTGATTGTCTCATTGTGTTCACCTGTTGCCCTTGTGTTTCTGCCTCCCTTACCCAGCTGTTTCTCGTCCCGTGATTACCCCTCTCTGTATTTAGTCTTTCCCTGTGTTCCCCTGTCGGTTCATTGTTTTTCCTGTCTCCCTCCATGTCAGTCACGGCCAGTTTTGGTAGTATATTTTCCTTGTGCTACTATGTGTTTTATGTTATGTCATTTGCCATCAGCTTTTGGAATAAAGCTCACCTTTTGTTTATAGACTTTTTACCTTTTTTGTTGTCTGCTTTTGGGTCCTACCTTTTCCGCGATCATAACAATAACAGTGAAAGAATAATAGTTTATTTAGGAAACAATCAACTGTTACGACAACATTTACAAACGTATGGACGTAATATATGTATGATGAAGAATCAGGTTGAATAACTAATGAAACATGAGATCTCCAGCAGTAACAGAGAGTCAGTGAACTGACCTGAGCGTCTCCAGTCTGCAGTCTGGACTCTCCAGAAGATCTCTCAGCAGCTTCACTCCTGAATCCTGCAGCTTGTTGTGACTCAGGTCCAGCTCTCTCAGAAGGGAGGGGTTGGACTTCAGAGCTGAGATCAGAGCAGAACAGCTGATCTCTGACAACCTGCAGCTCCTCAGTCTGAATAAAGAAATCATGATGAGGATTAAAATCTGTTTATAATCCAGTCTGATGTTCAGGTCTGAAATGTGTAGCTCAACATTACTGCGTCCTAATCAATGATATTTCCCCTGAATTTCAGTGACTTTCATTCTGTTATTGTGGATCATCATTATATCAGCCTTCTATGTATGATCTGGGAAAACACGTCTAAATGATGGGAACATAAACATTTCTATGTCAGAAAGTAAACTTTACGTACAACTAATACATTACATTACATTACATTGCATTTAGCTGACGCTTTTATCCAAAGCGACTTACAATAAGTACATTCGACCAACAAAATACAACCTTGAAGAAAACAGAATCATATAAGTACATAAGGTTTCATAGAGCAAAAACATTTCAAGTGCTACTCAACTGGCTTTAGATAAGCCAGTCCTTTATTAGTATAAAAGTGCTTCGTTAATAGTTATATCGCTCGAAGTGGAGTCGAAAGAGATGAGTTTTCAGTCTGCGCCGGAAGGTGTGTAAGCTATCTGCTGTCCTGATGTCAATGGGGAGCTCATTCCACCATTTAGGAGCCAGGACAGCAAACCTACGTGTTTTTGCCGATGGGAACTTGGGTCCCCTTCGCAGCGAGGGCGCAGCGAGTCGTTTGGCTGATGCAGAGCGGAGTGCACGTGCTGGGGCGTACGGTTTAACCATGTCCTGGATGTAGGAAGGGCCAGATCCATTCGCAGCATGGTAAGCAAGTACCAGTGTCTTGAAGTGGATTCTAGCAGTTACTGGAAGCCAGTGAAGGGAGCGGAGGAGCGGAGTGGTGTGGGAGAATTTAGGAAGGTTGAAGACCAGGCGAGCCGCTGCATTCTGGATGAGCTGCAGAGGTCGGATGGCACATGCAGGTAGACCAGCCAGGAGGGAGTTGCAGTAGTCTGTAGTAGGCGTGAGATGACGAGAGCCTGGACCAGAACCTGAGTCGCTTTCTGAGTCAGCTGGGGACGTATCATCCTGATGTTGTAAAGCGTGTATCTGCAGCAACGGGTTGTAGCAGCGATGTTTGCAGTGAAGGACAGGTTGTTATCTAGGGTCACACCCAGATTCCTTGCAGTCTGAGTCGGGGAAACAACTGAGGTGCCGATGTTGATTGTTAGGTCAAGAGTGGGACAATCTTTTCCCGGGAGGAAGAGCAGCTCAGTCTTGTCAAGGTTGAGCTTGAGGTGATGAGCAGACATCCACTGAGAGATGTCAGCTAGACAAGCAGAGATGCGTGCGACGACCTGGGTCTCTGAGCGGGGAAAGGACAGAATTAATTGGGTGTCGTCAGCGTAGCAGTGGTAAGAAAAACCATGCGGGCTAATGACTGATCCGAGCGAGTTTGTGTACAGGGAGAAGAGGAGGGGACCAAGAACAGAGCCCTGAGGGACCCCTGTAGTTAATTGACAAGGGTCGGACTCAGACCCTCTCCAAGTCACCCTGTAGGTACGGTCTTTGAGGTATGAGGTGAGGAGGGAAAGTGCAGAGCCTGAAACTCCAAGTTTTTGGAGAGTGCGAAGGAGGATCTGATGATTCACCGTGTCGAATGCAGCAGACAGGTCCAACAGGATGATGACAGAGGAGAGGGAGGCTGCTTTGGCAGTCTGCAGTTCCTCCGTGACAGCAAGGAGGGCAGTTTCTGTGGAGTGACCTGCCTTGAAACCAGACTGGTGCGGATCCAGAAGGTTGTTCTCATGGAGATAACAGGAGAGTTGTTTAAAGACAGCGCGTTCAAGTGATTTAGACAGGAACGGGAGGAGAGAGACAGGCCTGTAGTTTATAACATCAGACGGGTTGAGAATGGGTTTCTTTAGGAGAGGGTTTACTCTTGCCTCCTTGAGACTGTTTGGAAAGTGACCAGAAGTTAGAGAAGTGTTGATGAAATGGGTGAGAAACGGTAGAATATCAGGAGCGATAGTCTGAAGGAGGTTTGAAGGGATAGGGTCCAGAGGACAGGTGGTAGGGCGGGCAGAGGTAATGAGGGTAAGAACCTCACTTGGAGAGAGAGGGGAAAAGGAGGTTAGTGTGTTGGTGGAAGGAGGGTCTGGTGACCCAGCGGTGAGTAGAGGTGAGTCAGAAAAAGAAGAGCGAATATCATCAACCTTGTTTTCAAAGTGGGTAACAAAGTCGCTTGACAGAAGGGAGGAAGGGGAAGGGGCTTTGGGGGGGTCCAAGAGGGTGGAGAAGATGGAGAATAGTTTTTTAGGATTGGAATAGGAAGATTGGATCTTATCTTGAAAGAAAGTGCTTTTTGCCTGAGAGATCGAAGCAGAGAAAGAGGAGAGGAGAGCCTGATAGGTTAGGAGGTCGTCACGGTGTTTGGATTTCCACCGTTTCCGCTCTGCTGCCCTAAGGACGGTTCTATTAGCACGCAGGGCATCATTTAGCCAGGGAGCAGGAGGGGACTGACGAGCCTGCCGACATGTGAGAGGACAGAGAGAGTCCAGAGAGGATGAGAGAGTAGAGAGGAGAGTTTCTGCAGCAGAGTTTGAAGGCAGGAGTTGGAACGAGTCAGAGGAAGGGAGGGCTGAGAGCACCGACGAGGCAAAGGTAGAGGGGGAGAGGGAACGAAGGTTACGGCGGACAAGTGCAGGATGAGAAGAGATTAGTTCGTTATGTTTGGAAAGGGGTAGAGAGAATGAAATGAAGAAGTGATCAGATGTGTGGAGCGGGTTTACAGAGAGGTTAGAAGTAGCGCAGTTCCTTGAGAATATGAGATCAAGGACATTGCCAGCTTTATGAGTCGGTGGGGACGGAGACAGTGAGAAAGCAAAGGCGGTTAACAGAGATGTTAGTTCGTCTATCTTCCCTGTCTGGAGGTTGAAGTCTCCGAGAAGTACAGCGGGAGGGCCAGTTTCAGGGATGTTAGTTCGTCTATGTGAGGAGATGATCTAATTCCTCCAATATTAGTTCAGAGGACCTTCTTTATTCAGACCATTTACTAAAGAAAACATACATTTATTTTAACAACCAACAGTGGAAGAATAATAGTTTATTTAGGAAACAATCAACTGTTACGACAACATTTACAAACGTATGGATGTAATATAGGTATGATGAAGAATCAGGTTGAATAACTAATGAAACATGAGATCTCCAGCAGTAACAGAGAGTCAGAGAACTGACCTGAGAGTCTCCAGTCTGCAGTCTGGACTCTCCAGAAGATCTCTCAGCAGCTCCACTCCTGAATCCTGCAGATCGTTCTCACTCAGGTCCAGCTCTCTCAGATGGGAGGGGTTGGACTTCAGAGCTGAGACCAGAACAGAACAGCTGATCTCTGACAAACTGCAGCCCCTCAGTCTGAATAAAGAAATCATGATGTAACTTTAGAAAACATGGTTCCTGTTTAAAATAACTCCAGGTTTAATAAACTGATCGGAGCTGAAGAAGTTTAGAAAATGGAAACTCCAAACAGGTTAAAAACTGTAAGACAGAAAAAGTGAAATTGAGCTGATAGTCCGTGTTTTTTTTATTTCAATAGTTTTATTTGTTAAACCAGTAAACAGAGAGGAGACTGCAGGCTCTTTAGTTTCTGCTCTTAGTCTTACTAAATGATCAAATGATCTTTGGGGAGAGGGATGGGACTCTCAGAAGATAATGAAGAACTAAAGTCCTCGCTCAATAACGTGTGGGGAGGCTTTATAAAGAATAACATCATCAAAGCATGTATATTAATATTTCAGTGAGAAATGTCAGCCTATAGCCACGAGGCGCTGTCTGTGGTGAGGTCTGTGCTGAAGCGTTCCTCTGACGCTGCTGTGGCTCCTTTGAAAGGAAATCCAACCACTGTTAATAAACTATGGCCAGTCAGATTCAGCAGGAGAGTCAGTAAACGTCCGGTCAGCAGAGCGCTGCAGTGCTGTCTCTGCTGTATAACTACTCTATGTGACAGTGGAAGAGAGACGATGAACACTTCATATTCATAAAGTACCGCCAGTTACATATATTCAAACTTTCCCACCAAACCAACCACACTTGAATGGACAGTAAGTTCCTGAAGTTAAATCATGCTCCATCTGTTTTATTATTTTTACCCTCAGAGCAGCCGTGTTGCATTCTGGGAGCTTGTTCATCACAGTATTTGTAATGTTCAGAGGTTTTTGTGTTTAATATTCATCAGAATATTTTTCATTGATCAAATGATAATAAACACACATTTGCATAAAGAATATATGTCCACTCATATGTTGATAAGAGTCTTCAAAATTGTAATCGACTAACAGCCCTAATAAATACATATTGATCTCAGCACAGAAGTTAAAGATTGAGAACTGACCTGAGAGCCTCCAGTCTGCAGTCTGGACTCTCCAGAAGATCTCTCAGCAGCTTCACTCCTGAATCCTGCAGATCGTTGTGACTCAGGTCCAGATCTCTCAGATGGGAGGGGTTGGACTTCAGAGCTGAGATGAGAGCAGAACAGCTGATCTCTGACAACCTGCAGCCCTCCAGACTAAATAAAGAAAACATGATGTAACTTTAGAAAACAATGTTCCTGTTTGAAATAACTCCAGGTTTAATAAACTGTTCAGAGTTAAACAGGGTTTTAATGTCAGATATGATGTAGAAACTGTCAGGGTTGAGAGAGGCAAGCAGTACCCAAATGCAGATTAACAGAAAACACAAAACTACGGCCAACAGGGTGGGTGGAGGGGGTCTGGAGGACGGGCTTGGGCTGACAGCGGAGGGTCTCGGGTGGACGGCCCGGGGGCAAGGCAGAGTTCAAGGAAGGGGTCTCGGGCGGACGGCCCGGGGGCAAGGCAGAGTTCAAAAAGGGGGACTCGGGCGGACGGCCCGGGAGCAAGGCAGAGTTCAGGGTGGGGCGAAGGCCAAACAGCTCCGGAGGCCGGGCAGGACCCGGTGTAGGCCGAACAGGAACCGGAGCCGGTGGCACAGGCCTTGGCAGGACCCCCGGCGAGACAGGTGATGGCGGGGTCTCCAACGGAACAGGACACGGGGTTGGCAGGACCCCCGGCAGAAGAGTTGATGGCGTGACTGGAGCCAAAACTGGAGTCGGGACCCTGGCTACTGGGGCCGGTACTGAAGCCGGAATCATGGCTACTGGGGCCGGTACTGAAGCCGGAACCATGGCTGCTGGGGCCAGGACTGAGGCTGGAACCATGGCTGCTGGTGCCGGAACCATGGCTGCTGGGGCCAGAACTGCGGCTGGAACCATGGCTACTGGGGCCGGTACTGAATCCGGAACCATGGCTGCTGGGGCCAGGACTGAGGCTGGAACCATGGCTGCTGGGGCCATAACTGGGGCCGGAACCATGGCTGCTGGGGCCAGAACTGGGGCTGGAACCATGGCTGCTGGGGCCTGTACCTGAGCCGGAACCATGGCTGCTGGGGCCAGAACTGAGGCCGGAACCATGGCTGCTGGGGCCGGACCTGAGCCGGAAACATGGCTGCTGGGGCCAGAACTGGGGGCTGGAACCATGGCTGCTGGGGCCGGACCTGAGCCGGAACAATGGCTGCTGGGGCCAGAACTGGGGGCTGGAACCATGGCTGCTGGGGTCTGTACCTGAGCCGGAACCATGGCTGCTGGGGCCGGACCTGAGCCGGAACCATGGCTGCTGGGGCCAGAACTGGGGGCTGGAACCATGGCTGCTGGGGCCGGACCTGAGCCGGAACCATGGCTGCTGGGGCCAGAACTGGGGGCTGGAACCATGGCTGATGGGGCCTGTACTGGAGCCCAAAGCATGGCTTCTGGGGCTAGGGCTGCTAGCATGGACCTGCGACTCCTTCTCTTAAGAGCCTTTTGGAGGCTTCGTGGACCTCCAAAAGCCAGACGAGTTCCAGAGAATGGCTCCTGGACAGGAGCAGGAACTGGGGAAGAAGCAGAGGCCGACTCCAGACGGAACACACCGAGGCGTACAGCGCCAGTTTGGGAGTTGGGAGGCAGGGAGCTAGCATGCCTGGGGCTAGCAGGCCGGGAGTGACACACAGAGAGGAAGTCCAAAATCCAGCCAGGTAAGAATTTCACTAAACCTGACTTCTCCATAGCCATCTGGTGCGCCTCAGCCAGAGCAGCCTCTCGCTGCTGAACTCCAGACGCTCCCCTCCACTTATCAGAGCAGCCAGCCAAAGAAAAAGAAAAACTGAGTAATTCCAACTCAAAAGGATCTGCTGGGCCCATCATTGGTTAGTTCCTACTGTCAGGGTTAAGAGAGGCAAGCAGGACCCAAATGCAGAATAACAGAAAAAATACCTTTATTTCAAGGCTTCAAGACAGAACTCTTCCCCGTGAACAACGTCCAACAACAACAAGGAACTAACAAAGACTAACAGAAACCACAGAACCTAAATGCACACAGGACTAATCAAACAAACAAGAGACAGGTGAGGAGGGAGGAGAAAACACAAGGGCACCAGGTGAACACAATCGGGTAATCAGGGAGGGAAAACAGACAGAAAGCAACAGGCAGGAACGGGGGGTGAACACCTTTCAAAACAAAACAGGAAACCAAAGACAGAAAAAGACAAGACAAAACACAACACAGACAGATCTTGACAGAAACAATCCATTGATGATCTGGAACTTTAACTTTGATCAGATGTTTATCAACTCCTTCATCTCCCTGACAGCTCATCAGTACTGACAGCATCTCCACTGACTCCTGGAGCACAGGGTGAGTCTGTGGAAGCTCAAACACTCTCCCTCACACATTCACCTTCTCTCTGTTACTATGATCAATATTCAGTCATTAGCAAAAGTGAGAAAAATAATTAAAATGTATTTGTTCATAGGAAAATTCAGAAAGTGATACATAAAAACAGATCTGTATGAACTGCAGTCAGTGAACTGACCTGAGAGACTCCAGTCTGCAGTTTGGACTCTTCAGTCCAGAACTCAGCAGCTCCACTCGTGAATCCTTCAGATCATTGTGACTCAGGTCCAGATCTCTCAGATGGGAGGGGTCAGACTTCAGAGCTGAGGCCAAGACTTCACATTCAGTCTCTGAGAGTCCGCAGCCAGAAAGTCTATAATAACACATAGATTACAACATGTGTTAAAAAAGAGGAAACATTATATTAAACTCAAGCATTAGATTAAAACATATTTGACATGTTCTGATAGACATTTTCCATGTAATATTATATATAATAATAGAGTTGTTGAATGTGTTGTCAGTGTGATCTGATCACATGCCTGTGCTCCTGCTGTCAGTGCCTGTTACCAAAGAAACAGAAATTAAATAAATGACTTAACAATATTAGAGATGTAGGTAGTTATAAGACACCAGTATGAGTCCAAATGAGATTAAGTACCTGATAAGAGAGTGATTTATGACCCTCAGAAGTGATTTATGACCCTCAGAAGTGATTTATGACCCTCAGAAACCTTATTCTCGCCTCCAAATCCCTTTGATGTGGCACCTGTCACTCTGACATCCCTGACCTTTGACCTTTTTATCTTTTATGACTTGTTTGTTTATTGTTGTATTGCCCCCTCATAAAGGATGTTGCTCAATAGGGGGTGATAAGACTTTATTGCCTCTTTGATGTGACACCTGTTGTAGTATCCCCCTAGTAAGCCATTATAGTCATTGATGATACTATGACTTGTTTCGGTCACCTGTTGAAATGCCCTCTATAAGGTAGTGTTCTTTAACCCTTCTCTTGCGTTTCAAGACCTTATGTTATCCTCCACAGTAGGCCACCGCCATAGGGAATGAATGGTTATGAGTGTGTTATGTTCATCCTGCAGATGGAAAACATCTCCACACACACACACACACACACACACACACACACACACACACACACACACACACACACACACACACCTTAATGTAGGTAAAACTTCTACATCTGGTAGAATATTACCTCATTCACACCAACGGTGTTTCAGGGCCGGTTCGGAGCTGGAGCTTGAAAAGCACTGGGTTTTCCTGTTCACACCGCAGCGGAGCCGCCTCTTAGCTCCGGAATCCGGTTTGTTTCAAGCACCAACAAATTGTCCGGCTATAATCATCTTCCTTTTCCCCACTCTAGGGTCCCTGTGACTCTGTAGAGTCAAAACACCTCCCCCTCTAGACCCGCCCCCTTCTTTTTACCTCCCTTTCCTGTTTTATGCTCAGTCCCTGTGACTCTGTCTCTGGCAGGTGTCCCCACACTGTTGGTTTAAAGAAAACAAATCTTTCAGATAATCTAGTTCCTTTCTCACAGTATGGGTTTTAAAAAAAGAAGAATATACATCTCTCAGGGATGTAACATCACAGTTTTAGTGAAAATCCTATCTTTACATGGCACTTAAATGTATTGTTAAATTAGTTAATGGTTCACAGGGACTGAGTTCTGAACATGTCTTTTAAAGGGGACCTATCATGCAAAATGCACTTTTGTACGTCTTTGATACATGAATATGTGTCCCCGGTGTTCCAGGGAATTCACCAAGTGTCAGAAAATACAACCCTCTCTCTTTTCCTCCTTACCCAAATCTCTAGAAAAAGGGGCCTGTAAGTGGCGCTGCATGTAGTCTGCCACAAAAGCAGCGAAGAAGACTTCCTGCGCATGGTTGCCATGGTTGCCCTTCTGTTTATTCTCCGCTCTGGCTCTTTTTCTCCCTCCCGCTGCTGTAATTATCTCCGGTTAGTCCACCAGATGAAAAACAACCACCTCTCCGCCTCTTCCAAGGAACGAGGGGACCGTGCAGCAGAGTTTCAGTTAGATTTTTTCAACATGTCCGTTAAAGTTTAAATCTTCTGGACAAAATTAGAAAAGTGTAAAAAGTGTAAAAGCCGGAGTCAATTGAAGTCACGGAGCTCCTCATGGGTCAAAAGCAACCCAGCATCCCAACTTTCTCCGGCATCACGACTCCAGTGACACAGCCAGGTCAGGGTCACCCGCCTACACAGTAGCATTTTAAATGCTGCAGCCATTGTCAGTGCGCAATCATCCTCCACCAGCAGGACATGGCCATCCTTCCGTACCCCTGTATTGCTCAGGAACACCGAAGCTCGGCGCGCTAGACAGGCAGTGGTCCCCGTGGCTGGGAAAACGTCACCCACACCTCCCAGGCCCTCTGGTAGTGGGCGGGTGAGAAAAATGTGGCACATAACCCTTCCACCCAGCATGGAGGCGGTAATGACAGAGTACCGGTACTACAACACAGGGATCGATCCAGACACAAAGTTGTCAGAAAATGTGCAGTCTAAGGTGAGCCGGGTCAAGAATGTTCTACTATTTATGGGGCGAGATTCTCCCCATCTGTCAGACTGGCTGTTCCTGAAGGACACTTCAAAGATCCGTGCCTGGCCACATGACCTGAGAGAAAACAGCAACCTTGCCGTCACGACTGTTGCCTTTTATATAAAAAATATACTGCAGTTTATGCAATACCTGATGGACTCGCATGTAAATACGAACCGGCTCAGTCAGTCTGACATGCATACCATAGTGCGGGAGTTGCAAGGTTGCCTGGTGCGCCTGCACAGGGAGGTGACAGTGCACCAGTTCCATGTGAAGAGGCGTAAGCTGGACAGCCTGCCCAACTATGGTGATCTTGAAAAGTGTCTTTCTGCCTCTGTCAAGCGCATCCCTGAACTGTTGGATCGAATGGAGCGTTCCCCCTCTGTAGAAGCCCGCTACCTACTATACGGCTATTTATCACTCCATTGGTCCCTGCTCTATGGTCACCGTGCAGGAGTCTACGCAAACATGACTAATTCAGAGGTGAATGATGCGGAAAACAGGGGCACCAAGCACGGTTATGTCATCCATGTGAAGGCACACAAGACCGCCAAAACCTATGGAGTGCAGGTGCACTGTACTACGGAGGAATTTGGCTGGGTCCAGCGATGGATGCAAATCAAAAAGACGGTGGTTGGGCATAAGAATTGCTACTTCCTCTACACGGCGGGGGACGGCCCCTCGGAGAACCTCCACATGTTTCTCAACCTTGCATGGACTGATGTAGGGCTTCAGGGGTCGATATCTCACACCCTGCTCCGCACTGCCCTGGCAGACACTGTGAGTTTGGTAATGACTGCACATGTAACTGTTACCAATTCCAGTTTTACTAATTATCCGTATCTTTCCAGGTGAAGAGATACCAGGACCCATCCAATCGCGAGGTGCTCTCCCGGTTCATGTGCCACGACTTAAGGACGGCTAACCGGTACTACGCCAGCAACCCGGGTGTTAAGGAGGCCTTGGGCATCAGATACATGTTTCAACAGTCGTTTGCGCAGGCGACAATGGATGCACAAGCCGAGGCCGGGATAGAACCTGAAGCAACTTTCCACTTTAGAGATACAGGAAGCCATCAAATCTATGCAAAATGGGAAATCCCTTGGTCCGGACGGCTTCACAGTCAAATTCTACAAGGCATATTTGTAAAACAGTTTGTAAACTGTACCCTGTACATTATGTTGTATGTCATCCTTATTGTTGTTCTGTTGTTTTTATGTTACATGTGTAACTAATGTCCTGCAGGTCACCCTTGAAAAAGAGATCTTTTGATCTCAATGGGCTTTCACCTGGTTAAATAAAGGCCACAAACATATTCATCTCTTTTGGCCCCAATTCTAGCACGGATGTATAATGATTCCCTTAAAGAAGGCAGATTACCTCAAACCCTGTCCATGGCATCCATCTCTCTACTATTGAAGAAGGATAAAGATCCTACTCTTTGTGGCAGCTACAGACCAATTTCCCTCCTAAATGTTGATTGTAAAATACTGGAGATTTTGTCCCTCCGCCTCCAACTCGTGATACCTTCTATAGTTCCGCTTGACCAAACAGGCTTTATGATAGGGAGACACTCTTTCTTCAATACCAGGAGGCTACTTAATGTTATTTTCTCGCCCCCGTCCAATGTCCCCGAAGTCATAGTTTCACTCGATGCGGAAAACACTTTTGATAGGGTGGAGTGGAGCTACTTGTTCTTCATTTTAGAAAAATGTGGCTTTGACACAAATGGCATTCAATCATCTGCCTTCCTTCTCCAACGTGGGACACGCCAGGGCTGCCCGCTTTCTCCCCTATTGTTTAATTTAGCCATTGAGCCTCTAGCTATATGGCTCAGAGGCCACAATGGGTTTGAGGGCATCACTCGCCATGGTATAGTTCACAAACGTTCCCTTTACGCGGATGACCTTCTCCTATACGTCTCCAATCCTGTGTCCTCTCTCCCTCCTATATTGTCAATCCTTGAGCAGTTTGGTCGTTTATCAGGCTACAAATTAAATCTCCAAAAGAGCGAACTATTTTTTGTAAACCAACTGGCGAAGACACTCCCCCAACCGCTTTTCCCTTTAATATTGCATCAGACGGCTTCAGATACTTGGGGGTGTCCATTACTAGCTCCTTTAAAGATCTGTTTCCCAAACATTTCCAACCACTCTTAGCTAAATGCAAATCGGATCTATCTAGGTGGTCTTCCCTTCCCTTATCCCTTGTTGGCTGTGTCAATCTTATTAAAATGGTAATTCTGCCGAAATTCTTATATCTCTTCCAGCATATCCCAATTTGCATCAATAAATCTTTTTTCATCAGTCTTGACAGTCAACTAAATGCGTTCATTTGGGATGACAAAAAAAAAAAAATTCTTCAGCTCCCCAAGTCGGAGGGCGGCTTGGCACTCCCGAACTTCCGTCACTACTACTGGGCCTCTAATATTAACCGACTCCTTTACTGGACTGGCCCCAAGACTCCTAACTCCAGCCCATCATGGGTTCACATGGAGATCTCCTCCTCCTCTAGCTCCTTACACTCTGTGATTTGCTCCCAACTTCCCGTAAGGACGCACAAAATCTCAGTCAACCCAATTGTTACCAGTACTATTATGATTTGGCTTCAATTCAGAAGGCAATATGGTTTACACAGAGCCTCAATCCAAGCTCCGATACTATATAATCACTCATTCTCTCCATCCTGCTCAGACCCCACCTTCCGAATGTGGGCTGCCAACGGGCTTGTCACAATCAGTAATCTTTACAAGGATGGGGTTTTCTCTGACTTTGCATCCTTGTCTGCCAAACAGTCATCTGTTCCGCTTCTTCCAAATTAGGCATTTTGCCTATAAGCCAATACAAATATTTTGAAAAAATAAAAAATCCAGAGTTTCTTCCATAACCCCATGGACAGCAGGCGCATGTGGCAGGGAATTCAGTCCGTCACTGGATACAAGGCTGCTCCACCACCCTGTGACAATGATACTATATTTCTCAACAACCTCAATAATCACTTTGGTCGCTTTGAGGCACTTAATAACACCACATGAAAGCTGTCCCCAAGCCGGGGGAACAAAGACTTTGCCTTGACACAGCTGAAGTTCGGAGGACCCTGAGGAAAGTCAACCCCCGGAAGGCAGCAGGCCCCGACAGTATCCCAGGACAGGTGCTCAGTGACTGTGCGGACCAGCTGGCCCATGTCCTCACAGACATCTTCAACACCTTACTGGACCTGGCCATTGTTCCATCATGTTTTAAGACAGGAGCCATTGTACCTGTGCCAAATAAATCCTCAGTGACCTGCCTGAATGATTACCGGCCTGTAGCACTCACCCCCATCATGATGAAGTGTTTTGAGAGGCTGGTAAAGAACCATATCATCTCCATACTTCCCCCCACACTTGGCCCGTTTCAGTTTGCTTACCGTCGATAAAACAAAAGAGATGATTGTCGACTTCAGGAACAAAAAGCACTGTCACCCACCACTCCACATCAACGGCACAGCAGTGAAGACTACAGACAGCACCATGTTTCTGGCATATCACAAGCAGTCTGACCTGGTCCACTCACACGACATCACTATGTAAGAAGGCACAGCAGCGCCTACACTTCCTGCGCAGCTCCCTCCTCCCATCCTCACCACGTTCTACAGAGGAACCATAGAGAGCGTGCTGACCATCTCCATCTGGTCGAGAGACTGCAACGCCAAAGACTGGAAGTCTCTGCAGAGAGTGGTCAGGACAGCAGAGAAGATCATCAGAGTTTCTCTCCCTCCCATCAGAGACTCAGAAACGCTGCCTGACAAAAGCCCAGAACATTTTGAAAGACCCCACTCATCCTAACCATGCTCTGTTCTCCCTGCTGCACTCCGGCAAGAGGTTCCGCAGCATTAAGAGCAAAACAGCCAGATTCTGCAATAGCTTTTCCCCCAAGCCATCAGACTGCTGAACAGCAAGTAGACCAGTAAAGAGCACATATTTTCTATATAGTATGTCTATTTTATTTATATGTATAGTAAGTCTTTATATTTTAAACGCACACTTTATCTTTAATTTTCTTAGCACCATGTAATTTAAAAGTATTTAATTATATGCACAATTTTAGCAAGTTTTGATATTGTCCTGTTCCTGTAAACCAGTACAACGCAATTTCGTTTTAATAGTACACTCTGTGTCTTGTTGAAATGACAATAAAGTATGTCTAAGTCTATATGAAGAGAGAAACGGTTCAATTTAACCATTATTATAAATAAATGGAAGAGCAGTGTTGGTTTATTTTGCTCTCAGTATTTAAACAGCAGAAATGTTAGTGTTTATTTGAATAATTAAACTCCTGATCCACATTAGTTTATAAAGTGAATCACATCTGGACTTACTTGGCCTTCCTGCAGTTCCTCACAGCTGGAAGCAGTCTCCGTCGTCCCTCATCTGTTGTTTTGTACTTCTTCAGGTCCAACTCATTCAGAACCTCCTCTGACATCTGCAGCATGTAGGCCAGAGCAGAGCAGTGGATCTCAGAGAGTTCCTTCTCTGATCTGTTCTCTGACTTCAGGAACTCTGTGATCTCTTGATGTACTGAGAGGTCCTTCATCTCTGTCAGACAGTGGAAGATGTTGATCATCCTTTCAGGAGAGATTTTAGAACTTCTCATCTCCTTCAGGTTGCTGATGGCTCTCTGGATGGTTTCTGGACGGATTTCTGGACGGTTGTGTGTGCGACCCAGCAGTCCTCTGACGAGTCTCTTGATTATTTTTGGACGCTTGTCTGAGCGACCCAGCAGGCCTCCTAACAGTCTCTGGTTGGACTCCAGAGAGAGGCCGTGGAGAAAGCGGACAAACAGGTCCAGGTGGCCATTTTCACTTTGGAGGGATTTCTCCATGGCTCCTTTTAGAAAGACATCCAGGGATGGGTAATCCTGATCACTGTTATACCTGTTGCTATAGTCTCCCTGCAGGAAGTCCTTCAGTACCGCTGTGTCTCTGTTGGTGTAACAGTGCAACATGTAGACTGCAGCCAGAAACTCCTGAATGCTCAGATGAACAAAGCAGTAGACTGTTTTCTGGAAGATCACACTCTCTCTTTTGAAGATCTCTGTACAAACTCCTGAGTGCACCAAGGCCTCGGTGACACCAAGACCACAGCGCTGCAGGTCTTCTTGGTAGAACATGATGTCTCCTTTCTCCAGATGTTCAAACGCCAGCCTCCCCAGCTTCAGAAGAAGCTTCCTGTCAGCCTCCGTCAGCTGCTGTGGACTCGTCTCATGTCCCTCTTTATACTTCTGCTTCTTCCTCTTGGTCTGGACCAGCAGGAAGTGTGAGTACATGTCAGTGAGGGTCTGGGGCAGCTCTCCTCTCTGGTCTGTAGTCAACATGTGGTCCAGAACTGCAGCAGTGATCCAGCAGAAGACTGGGATCAGACACATGATGTGGAGGCTCCTGGAGCTCTTGATGTGAGAGATGATTCTGCTGTACAGGTCTTCATCACTCGATCTCCTCCTGAAGTACTCCTCCTTCTGGGCGTCAGTGAAGCCTCGTACTTCTGTTACCCTGTCCACACACTCAGGAGGGATCTGATTGGCCGCTGCAGGTCTGGAAGTTATCCAGACGAGAGCCGAGGGAAGCAGCTTCCCCCTGATGAGGTTTATCAGCAGCACGTTGACTGAGGACTGCTGAGAGACATCAGACACAACCTCATTGTTTCTGAAGTCCAGAGAAAGTCTGCTTTCATCCAGGCCATCAAAGATGAGCAGCACTTTGCAGACAGCCAGCTGCTCTGCTGTGACCTTCTGTAAGGTTGGATGGAAAACATGGAGCAGCCTGAGAAGACTGTACTGCTCTCCTTTGATCAGGTTCAGCTCCCTGAAGGAGAGCGGGATCACCAGACTGACATCTTGGTTTCCCAAACCCTCGGCCCAGTCCAGAGTGAACTTCTGCACTGAGAAGGTTTTCCCAACTCCAGCGACTCCGTTGGTCAGGACCGCTCTGATGGGAGTCTGTTGGTCAGGTGAGGCTTTAAAGATGTCCTGGCACTTGAGTGGAGTGTCATGGAGGGACTCTTTCTTGGAAGCGGTCTCCAGCTGCCTCACCTCATGTTGGGTATTAACCTCTTCACTCTGGCCTTGTGTGATGTAGAGCTCAGTGAAGACGCTGTTGAGGAGGGTTTCACTTTGATCAGTTCCTTCAGTCACACGTTCACATCTCCTCCTCAGACTGATCCTATGTTCATCTAGAACCTTCTGCAGACCACTATCTGCTGAGAGAGAAGGAAACATGAGAGACTCAGAAAATGCTTTTAACCTGATAAACCCCCCATCCCCCCGGAAAAACGCATAATCTGCAGAAAACAGCGTCTGAGGGCTTCTTAATATTTAATAAACTATGAATGTTTCATATCCATGTAACAGGAAGAAACTCAGCTAACTGATGATATGAACAATGTTTAGCAAAAAAAAAACACAAGACTAACGCTGAGCCTCTGAATTAGCCCGGAGCGAAAAAATGTTAACTGGGTTTTTAATGCAGTTGGCTTTTCTTAATGGTTACATGATGCTAATGCTATGAGTTATATCTGAAGCAAATTATGTTTCTGAAGATGTGTAGTCAATTCCACCCTACAATGTAGCATAAATGTGAACTCTCATTATAGGAACAATACCGGAAACAGACGTAGGAATTATCCTCAGCTCGCTGATTGGATGTTTTAGCCGCAATGCACGTTGGGATATGGTTTTTATGTGATGTGAAATCCGAAAACATTTTTAAAAATTAAAATAATACTTTATTCCGAGTGTGCTTGCTTTTCTCTTTGGAGGTCATCACATAACGGCATTGTAATACACGGTTCGGCTGCATTAAATATTACATATCTGCCGTAGTTCTGTATTTATAGAGCCCTGATGAGAAGACTTCTAGACAAACATGAGGAACTGAAAACGTGACGTGGATCATAAATATATCAGCCATTAAACAATATCTTACATTTCTTTTCACACAATACGTCTCCTTGCAGTATCAACACTAATTCGGCTGACTTTTATATTTGATCCAATGGTAGATAGGTTATATTTACACCATAACGGTGCACAGCTGATAGAAAAGGACTTGTAGTTTTTAAAGATATTACTGATTTTCTTTGAATATAAGAATGTAAATACTGAGTTGAGCGAATAGTCAGGGGATTTGGGTGATGGGAGACACATCTATGGAATCACAATTTCAATAGCTTACCATTAAATGACGGATATACCTTTCTGTCTGTGATGTTTTACAAATCAGATATTAAAGTGTAGAAGTAAAACAGGAGAAATAGTATAGCAATATCCTGTAAAATTATGTAAAATCATGAATAAAACTAAATATCTTCAGATGTTATACATACATAAGTGTCCTACACTAATAATACAAAGTTATTATTATTATGCTGTGTGTACCTTGTGTGCACCGCCTAGTGGTTAAAGCACCTTGAATGAATTATTTTTGTTGAATAATGTTATTTTTGTTGAATAATGTTATTTGATGAAAAACATATTAAGAGTACATACTTTCATAGGGGGAAGTAGAAGGTCAATGATAGAAATATAGAATATAAACAATCAAGAAGATACTGTAAGTGATCTCTACAATAAAACAGTTTAGTGCACGATGTACAAAGATATTAATATGAGGAGGTGCCAAACAGACAAACTAATTAACCTTTATTAACACATTAAAGAATACTTTAGGTTAAGGTCTTCTTTCAAATAAGAAAAAAGCTTTGGGGGTATCTATCTACAGATAAATATTAAGCCTGACAAAGTACTTAACATCTAATATATTGCTTCCTGCAATGTTAACTATGTTGAAGCACTTATTTGTTTATTATTTGTTTATTATTAAACTGATATTATACATATGAATTATACTCTTATGTAGATAGAATAAGAAATCTGCAGATTATGACAGTTTAATGGTGGAGGTACACACATATTGATAGATGTCTTGTAATGCGCTGTTGAGGAACCTGTGACCCAAGTGTTTCATTCATTGCATAACTACACCGTAGTTGTGTATATGATATGTCAATAAACCTTAGAACATCTTGAAATCTTGAAAGGGATGTGCAAAATAGCAATTATATACAGTTTTTAATTAACTATTAGTAGAGAATAACGAGTCATGAATATACTTTATAGAGATCTGCAGATACATGTTTAGTCTTCTCAAGCACCAACTATGAAATATCTCTCCTGATTGTTGGCACTTGACAATCACCTTACCTGAATGTTACTCAGGTGTAACTAAAGTCTGATTTAAGGGTTGTTTATATTTCACATCATTAATCAGAATCTGCAAAGTAACTCAAATAAATGTAGTGGAGTAGAAATACCAGGTTAACCTCTGAATTGTAGTGGATAGAATTACAAAGTAACAATGAGCTCTCATGTGGGTATTAATGCTGCGCATTATGGACACAAGCGATTTTCACCCATTTAGTAATTACATGTTTTAAATGTGTACACACCAATGTGTTTCCTGTCGCCTAAACCTCCAGGGCTGTACACAGTTTAATACTGTCAACTTCTAATTTTGGGAAAAATTAAAACGTCTTTTAAAACTACGAGACAGTCGAGACGTGCCATAGAGAACATGTTGCGAAACACATTTCACACACATTTCACATCCATTTCAAAGAGCTTGACGCTCGGCGTAACCTTGGCGCACTGCCACTCCAACATCCAATCCCAGAGCTTGAAGATTAATCACGGGGTTTGTCAACGGGACTGTAGTCCCAAACGATAGCTGGGGATTATGGGTAGTGTAGTGTCTTCGGCCATCCTAAACTCTGCATTTTTTTCGGATATCTTATCGCATTAACACCTTATCCCAACGTGCATTGCGGCTAAAAACATGCAAAAACAAATTGCTAAATAAAAAGATAGAACACTGGCATGTAATTTACGTTAGAATAAATAGAATGGTTTTGAATAATAGATGAGAGTAACATCTACGTCACTTTACAGCCCCGCCCACTTTTGGGGAAACCAACGCTGTCATTTGAACGGCGATCAAGCCTGAAGCCACAGAGCTCCTTTTTTCTTAGAGGAAGTACAGAAACACTTAACTCTGGATTTGTTTTAATGTTTGAGACTGTGACGAAGGAAACTTCACTGTGGACTGACGGCTTCGGGCCTTGTAACATTGCACATGTGGTTTGGTTTGGGGGTGTTCCCCAAACCCGTTTTGTCTGTTGCTCCTGATTGTGTTCACCTGGTGCCCTGTGTTGTCTCCTCCCCCCCCACCTGTGTCTAATTGCTGATTAGTGTGTGGGTATTTAGGCTCTGTTTCCCTGTCTGTGTGGGGGGTAGTGTGTGTGAGATCCTTGTGGCTGGTGACTGTGCTCACGTGAACAGCAGATTGGGGCTGTGTCATATGTTTGTGAGTAATAAATGCCCACACCGGGTTGTATTTTGGACGTTCTGCCTCTGCCTCCTTGCTTGGTCGGGCCGCTCAACGGTCAGCTTCACAGAGATACGTTCATAACACACGTAACATGGGAGAAAATACGTTTCTAGCTAAACGTAATTGAGAATACAGTTTAGTTCTGTGGGAACGTAATTTTTAGGAGACAGGGTTGTAACAGCACTCGATAGCAGCGTCCATGGCAACCACCTCAGCAACGATGAAAACGTTGAATGTGTACAATTTCCTTTAGTAATCTTCATAATAACTAGCAAACTAAAGACCATGTACATCCACTGCACAAATAATCTGAAATAACAATGACATCAAAACCAAACTAACCTTAAAATAGGCATTTTCGACCGAGAATAAAACGAAGGTCGGTCATGTTTTTTTTCCTGCTGCTACAACTCAATTTGGTGTTTCCGCACCGCCGGCCGTAACACGCCTTATTTGGCCTTTCATGGCCTTTCATGGCCGTGCGTCGGCCACAGGCAGTCGGACAAAGAAATCCCTCTGATTGGCTGTTCAGCTAGCGAATCAGTGCATGAGAAGTGAAATGGTTGCTTGAGAACGTCTTCCACGAGCAACACTCAAATGGCTGAGCTCCAGTACCGCACGAAACATGTTTACGATGGACGAGAGTGAAAATGGAACGCACACGCTATTTGTTGTTTGTTTAGATCACGCAGTCTGTTCTTCTTCTCTGTCTTCCGGTTGTTGCCTCTTTTGAATGACGAATACACACTACCGCCGCCTGCTGGTAAGGAGAGTTATTGCCACTCACGCATGCGCAGTTCGTACGTGCTCGGCTGAAGTCTCCTTGCGGTGTGTTCCAGTGCGACACATGGCCAAGACGCAGGAGAACACGGCGACGCAACAGTCGGCGTCGGCGAGTTCTCTGGTGACTGCTGGGTGTGTCGGGGCCTTTACTAGTAAAGCCTAGGCTTGCAAAATCGAACAACTGCAAAAAGAACGTCAGTCAAATGTGAAGAAGATTAAAGGACGCACACAGGAAATCAAACATCTAATGAAAAATGATGAAAATGCAAAGGATGTTAAACTTAAACTGGACAAATGAATTCATCAATATGAAAATGCAAAAACAGCACATGAATCAGTTATTATGTTGCTTTCGGAAGACGAACTGGAAATACAAAATAACTGGTTTCAACAAATAACAAAACATAACAATGATTTCATGGAGGATGTACAACAATGGCTATTGGAAACTGGGAGGCCTCTATTACTACTTACTACAACTCTATATCTATCTAACACCCCTCCTCCCCTCCTCCCCTCCTCCCCCTCCTCCCCTCCTCACCTCCTCCCCTCCTCCCCTCCTCCCCTCCTCCCCTCCTCCCCCCACAATGAATATTGACCAAGCACGTTCTTGCTTGATTTGCGGGACCAGCGTTGCAGTCGGGAAGAAAAGCAATGTGGAGCGGCAGCTCACACTTCATAAGGAGTTTGACCGTGATTTTCCTTCTGGCAGAATCAACACTCACATCAGCCCCATTGAGCACATGAGGGCCAGAGTTTTACTGTGTGTGTGTTGCAACTTGCATATATATTTATTGCACTTGACGCACACACACGCATGGTGTAATTTCCACTGGGGACAGGGGGGACACTTTTCAAAATCCCGTTTGTGTCCCCCCACTTTATACATTTTTTATTTTATTTTTTTAACGCAAGCCGTCATTGCCACGGAGGAGCACACAGCCTCTCTGAGTGAGCGAGACAAAGAGAGAGAGCACACCTTTATCTATTTAACCCTCCTATTGTCTTCGTTTCCCCCCCTTACTTTGG